AAAAAAGGAAGACGAATTTTGCTAAGTCACTTACTAAGTGAATGGACAGATCCACAGCATTAGAGCTGCCTTTAAAGTTTAGTTCTCTTTGCTTAATACAGTATAAATCCAAAAATGTGCAGACACCACTTCTCATTAGTGAACTCAGCTACTTTTAAAGGGAATTTGACTGTTTTTTCAAAGAATATATTCTATATAATTCTTTTGTTGAGAAGCCATGCAGACTGGTCTGATGTGAAACAGTTCAGTTCTCTGAGGGCAAAAGAACTTTCTGCACTTATCCCTGGCAACAAATGTATTTTTTAAAAAAGTTTTAGGACGCAGTTTTATCTCAACACTATTGTACAACACAGATGTCTGGTTCCATTCACCACTACTGTGAACAACTCTGATTCTGTAATGTTCTCTAGAAGGGAGCATTTCATATCAAACCACTCTGCATGACTTTCTTTATATCTGACCCATTGAATTATGCAGAAATTTTGAAAAACTGGTGGAATCCCCCTGGTTCACCTACTGCTGAAACAGGTTTTCAGTTGTTCTCCCACTGCTTGTGTAATCTCCATAAGAGAAAAAGCATTGCAATGGAATGGGACACTCCCTGAGGTCACCATGCTCCATGCCAAGTGTCGGCTAGAGGGGTGCAAAGCCTCCCAGCACTGGGCTATGGAGCAGAGGAACTGCATTCTCTGGACTGATGGAGCACCATCCAATACCTGGGATGAGCTGGAGTGGAGTTTGTGATGCAGAACTAATCATCCGACAACAGTACCTGATCTCACTAATGCTCTTGTGCCTGCAAATCAAATCCTCACAGCCATGTTCCAACACCTAGTAAAGCCATCCCAGAAGAGTACAGGCCGTTACTGCTGCAAAGGGGGACAAACTCTCTTGATACCCTTAAATTAAGAAGATACCTTACATGACCAGGTGTCTACAAACTTTTGGATATGCTGAATATTTGTGAAAAAGCTATAAAAGTGTGCTGTACAGCTTTTTCTAAAGTTAGATCAACCGCATTAGTGTCATTTCAGATCAGCAGACACGCAGAGACATACTCCTTATGGTATACTGAACATCCTGTCATCCTTCATACGATGCTTGACAAAATCGAGCTGCGTTGCGCTTTAACACGAACCATATGTCAAAATATGACAGCGATATTGCTGGAACTGTCCATTTTAGCTTTGATAAGGCGCTGCCTACGTAGCGACTGGACCAAAAAGAGAAAAGTTCTCATAAATGTGGCTCGACTAGTTGTCCATTTAAAAAGCGATTCAATTAATGGGCCGCTCTCCACCTTTCTCTTTGAACGCACTCGGCTCTTTTTTAAAGCGCTCGTTCTCTTTGAATGTGAGCCAGGCTCCCTATTTGCAGTGATTAGGAGAGCAAACTGAGCTAAAAATGGCTTTCTCTCTGGGTATGCACCTTCCTTTGGCACCAACACAGCATGACAAATCTCTAAAGAGGATAGATATTTGATGTTCATTTGTTTGAAGCACGTTTGCCAAAGACGGGAGAGATTGTGTGTGTGTGTGTGTGTGTGTGTGTGTGTGTGTGTGTACATGCGTGCTTGTGCATGTGTGTCCGTGTGTGTGTGTGAAGTATAGATTTGCATTTGTTCTGCCCGGCTTCTTGTCAAGTACACAAATACGCTGAGTATTTCGAGTTGTCAGGCATTGACACAATAATTGAGTGTTTTTGTTGATGCCGTCTTCACCAGAGGATTGCGCTTGTCACCATGGTCACTTGGTGAACTGAAAAAGCTCTTGTCTTCTCCGTGGATGAGTACAGCTCATGCCTCTTTTGCAGTTTTTGCTCAAGCCTGTTTAAATCACTGTTGAGGTTTTCTACATCTTTACTATCTCCAGCATATAGACACTTATTTGAGTACTTAATATATGGTGACTCAGAGAGTCAGAACACAACAGCATGTAGGACGCAAACAAAAGATGAGAATACAACTACATTAAGCGAGAACACAACAACATTAAGGAAAAGCACGGCAACATTAGGGGAGACCACAATTATATTAGACGAATACAACAATATTAGAAGATCCATGTTGGGATTATTAGCTTAACTAGCAGGCTAACAGCTCCACACACCTTAGTGCGGATTTGATTCTGCTTAACTGATCTCATCTGTTGTTGGATGCTTAAACGTTTATTGACTCTCTGGGGCACCGTATTTAAAGGGATACTCCAGTATTTTCAACCTAAACTCTCAGCATTTGTGTTATACAGTCAATCACCATGCATTTTTAAAAATGGGGTTTTCCATAGGTTCTGTAGTAAAGAACCACCACACTAAACCATCTAAAGATCCATCCGTTGGAAGGTTCTTTTGGGCTGTGGTTCTCAAACCATTCCCCTGCGCCCCCAGATGGTCAACAGTTTTGCTATTCGTGTGCATTGCTAGTTACGTTGGAGGAAAAATGTGTCTGAAGGGCCTTGATCACTAATTTGAGGTTTAGTTACCACTTTAGGTAACCAAAAATTATTCCTCAGTGGCACTGTGCTAAGAACCCTTTCTGGCACCCTTTTCCTGTCAAAGAACCTTTTTTGGTATTATACAGAACCAGAAAGGCAGGCGTTTGATCTTTGATAACCCAGATATTAAAGGAACACTCTAGTATTTTTCTACTGCATCTGTATTTTACTGTTAATTACAATTTTCCTGTAATTAAAAAAAGAACTGAAAATCCATCAACTTGAAATACACATATATTGAATCCAAACACCTGTCAAAACACCTGCCCATTGGCTTCTATTATAAATGTGCTTCGAGTGATTGGATTTCTGTTTTTTTAAAATCTCAAAATTATTGTCTATGGTAATTGAGCATATGATAGATTTGCAGCAGACTAGATAGATAGATAGATAGATAGATAGATAGATAGATAGATAGATAGATAGATAGATCAAAATCTCTTATCTTTGTAAAGCAGTGCAAAACAATGTAAAGTGTGGCTGTTTTTTATGTTTCAATAACCCAGATTTACATTACCATTGATCTAGGCTATTACAGATCAAGTACCTGCCCAATGGCTTGCATTACAAATGTGTTTTGGGTCAGGTTTTCTGTTCTTTTACTAAGTACAGGGAAATGTCAAAATCATGGTCTGTGGTAATTCAGATGCAGCAAATAGAGATTAGGTTGAATGAGCTTTCATGTCTCAGATCAACATTAATATTATTTGTCTATCTGAGGGTCAAAAAGCTGGAGCATCTGACCTTGCAGTGGCAACACAGAGAGTATAGTACATATAAGGCCTAGAGCTCATATTGACCAAGAAAAAGCAATAAATGGAAAAGTCAAGTGAGAAACAGCATGAGGGAAAATGGGAGCAACACAGAGAAAGCCCCCATGGAACGGAGAAGGGGAAACAGAATGAAAAATAGAGTGAGTCACAGGCAAAGGGGACTACGTGGAGAAAAAGGAGGAGAAAAGGCATCAAAACTGAGAAAAAACAAACAGCAGAGAGAGAGAGGGCGAGAGATAGACAGAGAAAGATAGAGAAAGGGGAAGAGAGAGTGAGAGTGTGAGAAAGTGTACTGGAGGAAGGCCAGATTGTAAGAAGAGTGAGGTTTGGAGAGCTGTATAATATACTCTAAAGGTCAATCTGCTGCCAGGGAGGATTGATTCAGCCAGAAGCTCTTGACATGGTGCTCTACTCGTATTGAGTTACTGTCTCCATGTTGAAGCCGCACTGTTATCTCTGTACGCCCGATACGCCGACATAACGTCACTTCAACGCCAGGCCAACATTACCTGCTGCACAGCTGAACAAAATGCTAATAGGCTTCAGTGTAGAAGCTAAAGCGCCAAAGCGTCATATATTGTCTACATATATCATTTTAGTGGTTTCAACTAAGCAGGCCAAGGTCTGTCTCTGTCACCTCAACTATACTGTGACCCAAATGTAGCTTTTAAAACAATTCCAGTAACACAAATTAAACACATGCAACACCTTCCCAACAAGCCATTTCTGACTTCTAGTCTCAGCATACAAACACGAATAAAAAGCTCACCAGAATAAAAGCAGAGAGGGATGGACAGAATGGACATGAGCATACTGAGCATCTGAACTCATCTTGTGTTTAAGTAGAATAATGTTAAACCCAGTATGGCAAAGTGAACATTCACCATCATTAGCTTGGGGCTAATGTAACTCTTAAAACCACATAAACGATCTAGCAGAAATTAGCATTATTGCAGCACTGATAATTTCTGGTATAAACAAGCAAAAACAAATAAAACAAAAAACATTTTTCTAGATGGTTTGTGTGGTTTGCTGCGAAGCTTTCTTACAAAGCTAACCTTAACTAACATCTATTCTCATATTTCAAACTCATATTTGCTCAGTGCAGTGCCAAGTGGGCAGCGTCATCAGGAGGTGGTAATATCAATTTTTAATGAAAAAATATCAGCTTTAGGATGTAACTACTCTTATATATGTAAATTTAAATGACCTCCATTCAGATTGGCTGGTCCTTTCACAAGTGTCCTGCATTATACTTTCATCTGGGATGAAATGCATGAAACAAAATGTGGAATTTGTTTGGAATTTTAGAAATAATAAACTTCAGCCGCTTCCCACCAGCCAGAAATAGCACAACATTTAATTGTTTAACACATCTTCCATTGTAGTAACTCTACTACAGATGCTCTGCAGTAACACTCCTTACCATTTCAGCGTGAATGGGTGGAGTGAACTGCTGTAGGTTGAATGTGCAGCCATATGTAAAAACATTCATTCATCATGGTTGTGATGTCAAACCATGTTTAATTCATAATGGCCTTTTTTCGAAGCTTAGTTTCCATATATAGCCTGGACTGGGGAATGAATGGTACATTTTGAAACTACTTCCTACCTGCATTTATATGCAAGGGAAATTTGTTTTTCCATGATTTTGGAAACCTTTAAACATGCAAGTAGCATTCCCTGATCCTAGTACACTGCTAAAGTGTGAGCTTTTGCTTGTTGCTTTTTGTAGTTCTCCTGCTGGGGATTTTCCTGTACACACGCTGGCGGAGCTACAAGGGCCTAAAGGAGGGGGTGTACCACGTCTCCGCTCACCACGATGGCTGGGAGGACATCCGGGAGAATGTGCTCAACTACGACGAAGAAGGAGGTGGAGAGGAGGACCAGGTGAGTGCAGAAGGTCCGGTACATTCCAGAACGGCTTATGACATGTGCAGAAAGTCAGTGACAGTTTATTGCAGGGAATGTCTACTGCAGTGGGCTGATATGTTGACATTTTTTGGTACAGCAAGTCACAGTGAGTTACAGAGAGACACACGGGCGCACTTAGAACAAGCGCACCATGTCACCATGACGACCTGCAACAGGGCCAGCCAAAACGCCCAACCACGGTCATCTTGACAGTCTTTCAAACAGAGGTGCCTGTCTCCACGGCAACCTTTAACATTAGGAGCCCACCGTCTCCGATTTTCCTAACAAACTGGAAACTACGAAACATTTCCAAAACGACCGTGACAGCTTGACATTTTACCCATGACATTTTACTGAAAGCGAATACACTGGGGAGGAAAGTTTCTCATCTTCTGCACCCTAAAGTGGGAGGAAGAAAAGAGTGAGAGAAGTGCCAATGTTTAGAAGAAAAAACGAGGAAACCGATGCCAGCAGGTGGTAGTTTAGGATGTTTTCTAGACGTTCTCTCGTCTAAGCTGAAGTGTTTGATGGCGCCGCACTATCCCCCACTGTCACAGTCATTTCCGCTTCATGTAAAATCCTGTAATATGCTTATCACACACGCAGTAGCACTCTGATCCTCTACAGTTCATCAGATGAGTCTTCACACATCAGGTAATCAATTATTGCGCACACCCACACCTGTACCACTCACACCACTCCACTCAGGCTCTCTCTCACTCTCTCTCCTCTCCACTCCTCTCCTCCCCTGCTATCTTATCCTCCCGAGGCTTAAGTTTCTTTTCTCTCCGGCGGCAAGTGCCCTCGCGGTAACGAGGGGAATCAGTTTCGGCTGAATTGGATTAATGCTGAAACGATTATGCCATGTTACATAAAAAAAGGAGGCTCTTGCAGAGCCGTCATGTTTCACTGTGTCAACTTAGCAGTCTGCTCGCTCTGTCGTCCGCCGCCCAATCCCCGGAGAGCTGTCTCCCTCTCTTCCTTTCTTCCTCCCTCTCTCTTTCTCTCAGGTGGAGAGAGAGGTGCACTCACAGAAACTAATCAGGCTTTAGCATTAGCGGCATGAATCAGGATTTATGCCATTAACCGTTAGCAGCAGAATGAATTCTGTAATGAAGACAAACACAGCCGCTTACGTTATCAGTGCCTTCTATTGTGCTGTTATTAGCCCATGGATCAAGTGCTGCAGACTCGTTTTGGTACTACAACGCACACATTTCATATTATGTTGAACAGAACTGCTGTAAAATAAGATGTGGCACATTAGTTCTCAAAATGACAGTTTGTCAAAAAAAATCTAATTTAACTTAAATTTACACAATCCTCTCAACCCAGATGTAGTCAATCAGCCAAGACAAAAATGTTTTGTCCAAAATGTGCTTCTTTAGTCTTGCGCTGGAGCTGCGATTCTAACAACCTGGTAATGGAAGCTTACACCCAACTAACTAGTCTGTGCAAATTGCATGCCTAAATCATCAGCCGCTTACACCAAACTTTGTCGAGTTGTTAAGTAATCTCAGATAGACTTTCTGTTGTGTATAAAAAATGACCAAAGTATGGATAAAATGGGAGCTTACCTATGTTCCTAAGAGTCTTGTGTTTCCAGGGTCCTATTTTCCCAGTGCCGTATGTTCCAAGGGGCCTATGTTACAAGCGGCCAATGTTCACAGTTCCCTATGTTCTCAGGGTTCTGTGTTCCCAATGTCCCAGGTTACCAGAGCCTCATGTTCCCAGGGCCCTATGTTCCAAAGTCTCTACGTTCACTTAGCTCTTTTTATGATACATCGAACCTCAATATGATATATGAAAGAAATCTATAAAAATGTCCCTAAAGTTGTTGAGGATGTGCTCAACAATCTCACCCAACTGTGGAAATATTTTATAACGCTGTCAATATTTAAGGTAAAACATTAATCACGGAATATGTTCTCATTCTTGTTTACTGAAATGTATAACCAGTGAGTTTAAATAAAGAAGCTCTTAAAAAAGAAACCATATGTCCTATTTAGAAGCAGCATGTCCTGAACCCAATTTCAGACATTTGCTCAACATATACTTTCAGAATATGCACGTTTGAAAATATATCACAGGTATGGGAATTAGTCTTACTTTTCATGCTGAGGAAACATGGGGCTGAAACATGGAGTGGCATCCCAGCACAGGGTGGTGGGTGCTGGTGCTGGTGCTGGATGACATGGATGAGGTGCTGGTTGCTGTCAAAACCTGGGATGGGGGGGTAGCATTCTCCATCAATCTGAAGAATCATTTCACCATGCAAAGAACTATTTAAGCATGAAGGCATGGGAACATAAAGTTGTTTCCTAGAAAATATCAATGGTCTGTTTCTTCCAAAACGTGTTAGCCTTCTAGCCTCAATGCATAACTAAAGAAGTAAACTCTGTACATCAAACATTCATCTTAGCAGATCAGCTACATTTGGGGTAAGGGGAAAAATTGGGTAAACGTGTGTTTAGCTGAGCCACTGCTTTGAAAATTAATGTAACTTGCAAATAAACTCAAATTATACTTTCACTTTCATTTCCCTCTGATACCTAGAATGCCTACGACATGGCGGAACTCCAAAAGTCTCTGCAGCCCAGCCCGGCCCAGTCTGTGCAGTACGGCCGCTCGCGGGCTCTTCATCATCACCCTCCGGCTCAGCAGCAGCAGCAGCACCACCACCTCCACCAGTCGGATCCCCCATCCCGGGCCTTGACTGCGACCAGCTCCTCGTCCATGTCATCCAGCACCACTACCACCACCACCCTGCGTCGGGACGTCCCACCAACCCGTACCCCGGCCCAGGGTCAGTGCGCCGGTCCCGGGACCAGCCGGGCTGCCCAGCTGTCCCGCAAGAGCCTGTCCTTCTCTAGCCAGGACCTGGCACGCTACCTGTGTGAGATCATCCGGGACGCCGACCAGCACCCGGAGACAGCACCCTTCGACTCCCTCCAAGTTTTCTCCACGGAGGGTGGAGGGTCACTGGCCGGTTCACTGAGCTCCTTCAGCTCGTCCGGCCTGGAGGACAGCACTACCACCAGCACCCATGACTGTCTGAAGGAATGGGGGCCGCGCTTCGAAAAGCTCAAAGCACTTTACGAGAGGGCAGAGGCTAGTGACCTCTGAAGGAATGGAGGGGAACTGCTCTCTTCACAGCAAGAAAAACCTTGAAGGACTTTTTCTGGAAAACTTGAGCCTCAAGGACAGATCCGGAATCAAATTTATAAAAACCAGAGAGGGGCCTGCTTTGCTTTCTGTCCTTGTCTGGGATTGTGAATCTTTACAAAACGTTTCTCCCGAGGACTGAAGGATAAGAGACAGGCTGGCATAGCTGGCGACTATCAATGAGCTGCAAATGGGAAGTGCCAGTCAAAAAGAAACGAGCATTTGTACATGGCACTTCTGGATTCTGCGGAAACCTTCACAGCATTGACTTGTGGATGACAATGATGGGAATGGAAGCCGTTCGTTAGCTTTGTGACTTGTTGGAGGAGGAGGGCCGTCCTTGTTCTTTCCTGATATGCTGTCCTGTATGTCTGTATTCTGTAAGTGTTTTTGATTGAAAGGGGAACGTGCTTGGACGTCCGGGATGGGAAGGGTTTTTCTGTGGCCTTCGCTGGTTTGCTTTTCTAAATCTGTTTGCTACCTGTGCTGTCTCAAGTGGCCCACTGTGTTCATCAGTTACACCTCCGAACTCAGTTGCAGCTGATTGTTCTTTTTATTCACACCACTCTCTTCATAAATTTTCACATGGATAAATGGGAGGAAGGAGTGACTGTGAAAAAAAATGAGAGGACGTGTTAGAAGCACTAAAGAAAACGAGGCAGAGAGCGGCCTTATTGTTCAGCCTTTACCAAGACGTTCCTTGGGAATACAAATCGTGTCCCCCTCTCTCTTTCTCTCCAGCCCAAAAAGGGAGAGACGGACTAGTTGGAATACAAATGTGTCTGGGACACACGAGGCGGAAGGCCAAGGTGGAGCAGTCTGAAGGACACTATAGAGGCTCTCTGCAATCGAGTAGTCCATTGCAGAGCTTTCTAAGTCAATGGTATATATGGCACACATTCAGACTGGGTGAGACTAAGCTAAAGTAATGAAAGAACGGGAATGTGCATGTAGTTTGTTTGTACGAGATCCAATCAAGTTACTGAGCAGCGCTAGGCCGTATTTGAGTACAGGCGTTGGTCACTGTGGTTGGAGCTTAGTGCCGAGGTTCCACTCCATTTTGCTCCCTTTAGAGAGCATTATGTCCTTAACAAAACCCGCTTACTCTACCGCAGAGCACCATGGCATTTCTTCTGCTGCCAAAAAAAGAGAAGAAAAAGAATTTGAAAGCGAGCGTTTTTCCCCTCCAATCGCATTACGCGCCCCTGCCGAGAAACCTGATGAACCTCAGCGGCGAGGTGAATTCAGGCCAGAACATTCGGAAGTCAGTGTATGTATTGAACCCTTGGTCCCTGACACTAAAGCACCTCAACATGTCCCATTTTAATGGGCTCGCGTGGCATCGGCATGAAGCAGCACGGGGCGAGGGGGCCACAAAGGTTCTCCGTGCCGCTTTCTCCCTCGCTTCAAATGGAATACAGAACAGTGATGTGGCCTCCCCCTGCGAGGCCTCAAACGCCAACCTTGTATGCTATGCATTCCGAGGTAGTGTTTGTGCCCCCTCCCTCCATCGTTTCTTATTTTCAGTGGTTTTTGTTGCACGGTGCCGTATGTGGAGCGTGACAGTCCAGCTGCAGAGAGTAGGAGTGCGTTAAAAGACATCAGAGAGCTAATCCTAATGTGAACTGATTGCTCGCTGTCATGCTGTGAACCAAAGGATCATGGGAGTTGGAGAAGTCGACAGAAGAGTCGTCACTCTTATTACGGATCTCAAAAGTGCCAATTTTTCCAAAGGCAGCAACACGAGTATAAAATAAGCTTTTCAAGTTGAGGCTAGGAAATGGTTCTGCTAGCGCTGTGCTCGCTATTTCACGCACAAGATAAAGGATCCAAGAGGATTGGAGTTCCGATTTATCCTCGTAACGCGATTGAAAAGGATAAATAGTAAACAGAAGGGAAAATAGTGATCAATGAGAGACATAAAGGGGTCTGTTTCCAATTCCCAGGGGTTCCTATCATGCCAGGCAGACCAGTGCCACCTTCATTTCAAATGAAAGGCCCACTTTTTAATTTGTGTGATGAATATATAGTACTGCATATTGTGAAATAATGTTTTTACCTCATTTGTACATATTGAACAGAAGTTATGCTTTTCAGAATGAAATATCAGATCCCTTTTGAGAAATATCGAACTCTGCTTCTGCCGTTGAACGTGAGCTTCTTTTTCCCCTCTTTTCTTTTTTCTTTTGCCATATTCCTTTCGGTCGGTGAAAATATCTTGTTGTTTTGTATTTGCATCATTTGACATGTTTGCTTTATTTTCTTTCTCAATGAATAAAAAGTTATTTACTACTATCATCGTTTCAGCAATTACTTACGCATTTTGGGTGGAAGAGCGTTTTTCTGTTAAAAGCTTCTTAAATTTCACCTCCTAAGAGGTACCGGGACGATAACGAGAACGTATTGTGACACGGAACCTGAGCAGTAATTAGTCTGTAATAGAGCCACGTCTGGAAAGAATACCACTTAAGAAGAGATGCACACTTTTGTTAGAGAATCTCTAAAATACATGCAGGCAAGAAGTCAATGTGCTACGAATATAAATAATGAACAAATCAAAAAAAAAAAAAATCCACTGTACAAGTCCTCTTTTATTACAAAACTGCAAAACACTGAACACAGACAATGGCATTCACCAAGTGAAAAGAAACCTTTCAGATGATAATGATATAGTACATCTAGTCATACACTCGAAATATCACACAATCAATCCAGTGCAATTTAGCACCCTGCTTTCCCCATGGAACAAATTATCGATGATGCCTGAGGATTTAGACGATTCAGTAATATCCCTTTAACATCCTCCTGAAATAAAGGTTCTGATGTAAACAGGTAAAGAATACGCTTCAAAAACTCCATCACAATCAACAGCACTTGTACCATAACAAAACGTACAGCATACTGGGGCCTCGTACCTCAGATTAATCTGGCTGAAAGTGTTTTCAGTGACACTGCATGACACCTACATAAGCCTTTCATTACTACTGGTCTATACTTATATTTATACTCATAATCATTTATAAAAGCTTATTCAAACAAGCAGCGTTTTCTGTAGCTGACACTGACTAAAGCAGCCTTTATGACAACTAATAAGCCTTTCTAGACATTTATGGAGGTTGTCCAAAGGCCTTAACATGGTCAATGTCTCAAGTTTGCTTACATTTGAATAGTCACCTAGAAATAGGGCAGAATCCTAACAGAATTTACCTTCCTGGTCAAAATTTGTAAAAATCCTAAACCTTTCCACAGTTTATTTCTAGGTTTAAATGAAAGCAATCCCAATTCTTGGATCACTGTAATACTGACATCATAGCATGATTTTCATGACATACACCTATATTTACATTTATGAAGAATTATAAAGTATATTCAAACAATGGTCTGTTGTCATAAGACTTTCTGTAGGTGAAACTGACAAAAGCAGCTTTAGTCAACTGCTGATGCTTGTTGGAATAAGCCTTTATAAATGTTAATACGGCTTTAAGTCAGTTGTCATAAATGGCTTTTGTACGAATGCCACCCTTCAGTAAAGTGTTACCATGTATTTTCACATAAAGATTCACACCATTTCACAAAGAGACTTTCCATGAAGCTAAAACTGAGGGTCCCTTTTTTAAAAAATTGACCACGAGTGCGCCTATATACACGTATATTCTACTGGAAGTCTTTTAAGGATTATTGTTGCAGACACTGAAGAGAACATCAAAGAATGGATTTAGGGCATGATAGTTCAATCCATAAAAAATACATTTCAGTAGTGCTCTGGGCCTCAAACAGCCTGAGAAGTAATATAAAACCAGATTATCCTGAAGGTGTTGCTCTGAGTTTTAAAAAACTGAACTCAACTGGGCTATTAGGAAAATGGCAAGGCACTTGCACACATCTCATTCGTAAAGTCCTTAATGGAATGAAAGGGCTGAGAGAAATGACGACATTCACTTCTTCCAGAGAACACTGAATATATTACATCAGCCCATATAAAACGTCTCGGCAATTTCACTCCTGTCACCTACACAACCGAAGGTATTAATAATTATTAAGGTTAAACGTAACAGCATGTTACTATCTTTGTAAACTAAGCAAATTGTGTTACCAAGATAATTGAGTTTGTAGAATAAAAAGAAAAAAAAAAGGTTCATTGTTATTTTTTGTCACTCAAGGCGACGTGCCAGCCACAAAATTACACAGTAGCACTAATTAAAAGAGAACAAATACGCAATGATATTCACAGTGCTAGAACCATTAGGCGTTACAGTGAGAATTCATGGCACTTTCACTGCGCCCATGACCAGGACTGGCTCTTATTAGTCACCGTTAGAGAGATACAGAGAGCACCGGACCTCTGCTTGTGGATGCGTGTATGAAAAAGCGTTCTCATTAAATTTAAAAGCTAGACAGTGAGCTGCGACTACGGGACTGGAAACTAGAGAGATGGCACAGGCCAACAGCTTGGCTGATGTAAAAACAACACGAGGCTAGGCAATAATTACCCCAAAAGTTCAAATAGATTCCTATCTCTGACTATCAAAGGGTTTTTTCCTTGTTTTTTTGTGTGTTTTTTTTCCTCTAAATATTCACTACACATTTTTCCAGTATGTATGTGAAAGAGGGAGATGGGCAAGGAAAAACAGCAGAAGGAGAAATGTGGGTCTACTTCAGCATATGAGCGTGAGTAAACATCAGAGTTTGAGCACATTATGAAAGAGAGAGAATAAAAGAAAGAGAAAACCAAGCAGGAGGTTTTCATCTTTCTCTCTTTTTCTCTCAAACATGAGCTCCAGTTGCTTTAGGCCACGTAGCTTAAAGCTCATACACATCCAACATCATCTGCCCATACCGGCCCAATCAAGCTTCTATCTAAACACATACACACACAAACAGAGGCCCCCACTGCAATCACAAACTCACTAAACATTCCTTTCAGGCAGCCTCCTTGATGGGAGCTGATGTGGAGGAGGTTTCGGGGGCGAGATCACTGGCCTCCCACTACACACCGCTGTCTGCCTTGCTTTTCTTCTTGGTTTTCTTGAGCTTGTACACATGAAAGGTCTTGTTTTGGAACACGCGGGTGAAGAAGGTGGAGTATGGGGGCTCTCCGGTTTTGATGGCCTGGCAGAAGCGCGGGTGAGAGGCCGGGACGAGGTCAGGGTCGTTTTCTCCGGGCCCATCCATGATCTGAGGAACAAAGCAAGCACAATTCTCAGATTTCTGCAACGTACTCATGCATAATCAGCAATGACACCAAGATATACATTCTATATTGCTGCTGTGGTAACAAGACCGCGTATGTTAACGCGCAAGATTTTATTCCAGGTTAATTTCTATTGGTCCATTGTCATGACATGTTCACACACTGTAAAGGGCAGCTGGAGTTTTCAAATGGTGTAAAAATCCATAAAAACAAATAAAAAAAAAGTTTTGATATGACAGTAACGATTTGCATGCTTGCATTACTATTTAGGGACGTCCAAATCTGTTTTTGCCCTTCAGTGAGATCCGAGGACTTTAATGTCGCATACCGGCCAATCCGATCTTTTTGTTTTCCATAGCCACGAAATTTAGATAAGACATACTTGGCTGCCAATTAGTGCTATGGGTATAATGTGACTTTCTAGACTGAGATAATTTGCTTTGGGCTACTTTTAAAAATATTACTGTGTTTAATATTGGCTTATCATCCAATTTGACTGACCTCCCTGATGACTTTAGTAGCAGTCATTTAAAAATTCTGCACTAAACTCAATTACATATTCTCTGAACAGATTGGGATGTGTTGTGGGGGTCAACATGTCTGAGACCTCTAGTAAAAATGCTTCTATTTTGCATTTCTTTACAATTTAATATAAAGTTTTTTCACTACAAAGTATATCAGTATAGCAATTTATGAGAAAAGTAGAATCTTTTAGTATTTAGTAGAATTTCTTAGCATTTGGTATGTGCCTCTTCTGCTTTAATGACAGCAGGTACACAAGTTTGTGCTAAAGCCCTGATGTGTAGATCAAGTCTACCTGAGAGTCTTCTGAGCACAACCTTCAATACAAGGAATAAGATAAAAAAATAAAACCTGACTTTTCATGCGAAGGCCTTAACAAGGTCAATGTCATACATTTGCTTAAATCTGAATAGTGACCAAGAACTAGTGCTGCATTTATGAATCATTAAAAGAGATCAGGTCCTTTTCCAGAATCAAGAATCTGTGGCACTACTTGAAAATTACAGCCCACAGCTGTCATCCAACCAATCTGAATAACCTGAAGCAAACCTGCCAGGAAAATGGAAGGAAATCACTTTCAAACAGAGTGCAGCGCTGATAGAAACTTACCCCAAAAGACTTAAAGCTGTTATTGTAGGAAAATGTGGTTCTACTAAGTACTAGTCTGAAGGGACTGAATACTAATGCGAGCAGCATTTTTCAGTTTTTAATTTTTTTGTTAAAGAAGATAAAAATACTGTCTAGAACAATACATATATACACCGATCAGGCATAACATTATGACCACCTCCTTGTTTCTACGCTCATTGTCCATTTTATCAGCTCCACTTACTATATAGGTGCACTTTGTAGTTCTACAATTACGGACTGTAGTCCATCTGTTTCTCTGCATACTTTGTTGGCCCCTTTTTACCCTGTTCTTCAGTGGTCAGGACCCCCATGGACCCTCACAGAGCAGGTACTATTTGGGTGATGGATCATTCTCAGCACTGCAGTAACACTGACGTGGTGGTGGTGTGTTAGTGTGTGTTGCGCTTGTCTGAGTGGATCAGACACAGCAGTGCTGCTGTATATATATATATATATATATATATATATATATATATATATATATATATATATATATATATATATATATATATCTGGCTTAATGTAGCAAGTACTGATTCATTAAAATGAGCCTGGATTAGCTCTGCTCCCAAGCCACTGGTGGCATCAAGACATCTCTTTTACGATTCTATTACTATTCTTCAGAGGTGTAGTTCTAACACTTAGTGTAGTTCTAACTTAGTGTAGTTCTAACACTTCTACTACTGCTTACCCATGGAGATTGTCTAAGTAGCTGTAGTTTTCTATTAAAGCCCATCATTCTATACAATTATACTGACTGTGTCTTGTAGAGATCCATTTTTGGTAAAGGGAGGTAAACGGCCAGCATTAAAAATCTTCATCTTTGAACGAAATCAAACAGAGAGCTTCGCCCTAAAGTGTTTAAACATTCACTTTGTAAATATTCCCAAATTTATTTAAAGGCTGTGGAATGGTGCTTTGAGAGGAATTAATCAAAGAAAGTCAGTTCCCACGCCACCCACAGGTATCGGAAACACTGGAGGCACCTCTTTGAATTCTTAACGTACTTTACATGCAACAAGTTTCCAATTCTGACAGGACTATGCTGGAGATCCATCAAGGCCATCAAGACCTTTTTTTTCTCTCTGAGTAAGAGATGGGGCTGAATTCGAAATATCATCAATGCACACATGCAGAGGAATGCGAGCCTTGCTGGGGCATTGGATCAGACAGGATTTTGAAGACAGCCTGAAGGAATCCAAATTAGGAGTGACTCATCTTCTGGCTGCATCAAACGGGTGAGTGCAAGAAGGCTTTTTTATGACTGGGCCATGTGCAGATCAGAGGAGGTGAGATGCACAGCCTCCATCACGTCTGTAATTGAGTGCTTTCAAAGCCGTCTCTGCTGCAGGAGACGTCTGCGTGATGCTTGACGAGAACCAGGCGGTGAGACATTTACAGCTAGCATTGGCTTAGTCTTCATTCTGGTTATCTCACGTTGTTTGGATCTGCTGCAGTTTCGGTGTGGAATCGTGACGGCAATGACCATCAAAGTACCCGCATACAAAATCATTCTTGAAAGCTTTGTGCCTTCAGTTCAGCAGCACTGCTCAAGCACACGTCTCCTGTAAGGAACAATTTGGCCCAAAATCAAATTTTCTTTCCCCGTTACCCTTAAGTGTAGCAAGTCAAGCCCAGATGATAGAGGACAACCTCTTAAAGACAAATTCCACATTTCTGTATAATTTGATCGCTGTGATGCAAACAAAGCCATTCATGCACATGGTTTATAGGGAACCTAACAACTCTGAATGCTTTACGGTGGTGCTGATAAGAACCAGGGGTCACCATGTCTACAGTGCAAATGTAGCCAATTGATATACTATTCAAAATGAACAGTGAACCTGCACGTGTCATCTGAGTTTTTGTATGTAATATTGATAAATATAAAATACACTGTTAGAAATAAAGATTCTGTGCAGGCACATTTTTTGTTCATCAAGGTACAAACAATGTAAATGTGCCTTCAAAGGTACAACAGTGGTTTTAAGGTCCAATTGTGTACCTTAAATACATTTTTCCAGGTGAAAAGTTTTCATAACCTAATGTTTTAAAACAGAACAATAAATACCTTATCTCAAAACTGTGATAAAACAATGTCTCAGATATCATAGAGCATATTTGTAACCATTCCATGTAATAACTTTCTGTGATGTAGCATTAGGAGGCATAAAATGCATCCGATGTGTTGCTCATATCACCACCACTGTGAAGAATTCTAACTTCTATGGAAGAGAACATTCACACCAACTCACTCTGAATGACTGTTTACATCTCTATGATTAAATTATACAGAACTTTTGATTAATCTGTGGATTCCCTTTTAACATAATAGGTCTGCTAAATAACACTGTGATAACATTAGTGAGATGTAATGGGAATGAATGTTACAGACAAGTTTGTCTGTTGTACGTTTTGAAATGATGTTTCAGCTACATTCAGAGGACATTAAACAGACATACTTGGTTCACTCATTTTTGCACAAACAACCTTATGTATTGTGTAATGTATAATACATGCTTTGAATGTTCTAAAGCAGGATTTGAGCTAAAATGAAGAAGAAAAGATTCTAAAAATCAAGTCATGTCCAAGTTAGGATAAAACGTCTTGTTAATATCTACTATAATAGCATGGGGACGTTCTTGGAATGTTATAAGGACTTCAGAAAAGGTATCCTTTGTACCATTTCTGGGACCAAAAAAAGAAAAGAAGTGTTCAACTCTGGACCTGGAGCGCCAGTGTCCAGCACAGCTGATTCAACTCCTCCATTAATTATCAGGTTTAGTGAGCGTGTTTAAGTAGAGGAATTACCAAACTGTGCTGAACACCTCTGCCCTACAAAACAACATTTAAAACCATTCTGAGGATGTTCTAAAGATGATATTTCTGGGAGGATGTTTGGTGCCTCCAAAGTTTACTTTTTTAGACTCATTTAGCTAACAAGTAATAGAAGCTTTTAGCCAACAGTTAACAGACTGTACAAAAAACAGAGCCTTTTCACACTTCCAGAGTCAATGCAGCAGAAGTTGTACAGAAGGGAAAACATCACAGCAGTGGCAGAGTTTCTGAATGAGAACGCAGAGTCCTCATTAAGTTATCTGCGGAATTCTTCCATGAAAGTTGTCCTTTATTTGGTGGAGCAGTTTTCATTTTTAGAAAAACAAGCTTAACAAGGGCTACAAGCTTTACATTGAGAATTACCTGTATGACTACGTAGTTAACAATCTGACAAGTTACCCAACTAGGTCATCTAACAGCTGTCTAATGGCTAGAATGCAGTCAATGTTATGCAAGTTGAGAGCAAAGTTAGCGTATTTAATTATACCTCTTTGCCTTATGGTTGAAAACCAACACTACTGTAATGTTTTCCCTACTATGATGACTTTCACTGCACTGAATCCAGAAGTGTGAAAAGAGCCTGTTGTCCATTTTTTACATAACAGTGTTATGTTAACAGTGTGGTTTAAGGCAACTGTGTGGTGACTTAGGCAAGCAGTTTTCACAGTTCTCACTAGTGAAACATAAGCATCCATTACTTACCTATTAGCCTCAAAACAATGCGAAGCAAATTTCAGACACCAAACATGTACTACTTATTTAAAGATGGTCCTTCAAGGGTTCTTCAATAAAGAAAATGGTTCTATATAGAACCTTTTTCAAAAGGGTCCTGTATAGCACCAAAAAATGTTCTTCTATTGTTACAATTCTTGACATCATAACAGTAGAAGAACACTTTTTGGTGCTATACAGAACCATTTTCAAAAAGCTTCCATATAGAACCATACACAGCACTTTCTGCATCAATGTGAAGAACAGTTTCTTGATACAAAGAACTCTTTAATCATGCAAAGGGTTCTTTCAGTGTTCATGGTTCTATATGCAACCATATTCTTTACTAACGAACCCTTTAAAGAAGACCATTTTTAAGAGTGTAGCTCATCATCTACATCTGAGGTAATGTCTATATTTTGGTGGAAGTTAAGCAAATTAGATTTTTCTGCATATCATCTTCAGCTAATGGTAATAGTTTAGCCAAAAAAAGTAAAGAAAAACAACAGCAGAGCTCTGGAAAAAAGTTACAAGTAAATTGATTAAAGCGCATTGCTGGAATAGTGACGGCTGTTAATGTGCAATTGTGCATATATGCAAACAAATGCTGTTTGCATCGTGTGGGTCTCACTGTTTTCTTGTTAATTTGCTTTCACTTCATTTAGTTTTATATTTACACCATAATGTGCAATGTGTAGAACTGTAATACTGCAACTTGATTGTACACAAGAAAGCTAACGATGTGGACATAAAAAAGCAGCATCTTAATTAAAGCAAAACTGCGCTTAATTATGGAAAAGAAAGAAGACATTTGTGTGTACAGTTTCTAAATACACAAGGAATAATATAATAAATCCTAAAGCTAATAATAATCAAAGCAAGGCTGGGAACCTCGCAAAGACAATATTTGTTTAAGTTGTTCTGAAACTTCTCTGAGGCAGAATAGACTGGGTTATTGTGTTACTGAGCACAGGCAAGGCTGTGAATCCCACAGCATTAGGAAAAAGCAGCAGCACTGCAGGGGTCTGCATTTGGTGGTGGAGGGGGGTGACCTACATGTCCATTGGCGAGGTCGAGCAGGTCCCTCAGCCTGCAGCCCCGACTGTGCCGGCGCTCGTAGCAGATGCTGTCCTCCAACACCACGTAGTCCGCTCCTACAGAGCGTAGCAGTCTGTGGACCTCCTCTGCTGACTGGCGGGCATACACCTGATACACCTGAGAGAGAGAGAGAGAGAGAGAGAGAGAGAGAGAGAGAGAGGAAGCGAGAGAGAGAGGAAGAGAGTTATATGCCCAAACAAAACAAAAGAAATTAGCTTCTGTGTGCAGTGGTACAAAGAGAATGGAGCGGCCAGTCAGAACAGAGCTCATTTACAAATTATCAGTCTTAAAGGCACATTAACAAATACAGCATGTTTAAGGGATAAAGAGAGGTTGGAAAATGGTCATGTAAAAATGAGTTCCGATTGTTTTTGGTACATAAAACCATACAAACGTTAAAAGTCAACCCCAGGGAAAAAATAAACTGCAAGAAAAATATAGGATATTGGCCGTTTACAGCATTACTTCGTCAAATAATCAAATTTACATTTTCCTTACCTCAAAAGTAGCTGATACACTGGAACAAGTTTGATGTTGGAAGTTTGCTTCTTTAGTTTTGCACCTGAGCTACAAGGCTAAAGTAGCTAACAAGTTAGGGAAGCTAATGCCCTAAAATGAAAAACATACTTCACTCAAGTAAATGAATGCAAATGCTTCGAGCTATCCCAGCGGTCGGCAACATGCGGCTCTTTTCCTGCCCTGTTGCGGCTCCAAAGCAGAATTAGATTTTTAGGTCAAAATAAAATAATCCTCCTTTGCAGTAAAATAAAGCTCTGCTGATCGTTCAACACAATTTTAACACTAAATAGTTTTAAACTAATGTATAACTGCTAATTCACCGTTGGCACACAGACTGTCACCATAGCAACGCAGACAACAGTCTTGCCTAGCTAGTAGCTAATACAGGGGGGAAAAAGAAAGATTTAAGATGAACACTGATAATTTGGAGACAAACTGACTCATTTGCATTTATAAGCACTCAGCTGGTTTCATGATACATGGTTTAATCTGCAGCGAGAAAATGTCGACCACTAAAAAGTCAGCTTCCCCTTTCACCAGCTTCTTGTTCGAATTCTCCTGTTCCACCTTAAATGGTGCAGCAGTTACATTCTTGCACCTCAGGCCCCATTTAACGTGGAACGAGAAAATTTAAACAAGAAGCTGGCAAATGAGAAGCTGACTTCAGCTTCATAAAAAGTCGAACGTTGAGAGACATTTTACAAGAAACTGTTTTACTTTTGTGGAGAAGTTTCCTGCCAGAGATGCAAGAAAAGCAGCTATGGCTGAGCTAAAGCTTAATGAAGAACAAGGTAAGTCTGAGTTTTTGTTTATATTATATTTTTAGTCTACACTAGGACATTAGCACACACTGAGACATATTTACAGCCAAGATGGTAAAACGTAACTTTGTTTTGGCTCCCAAGGCGGACTGATTTTTGTTGAAAGGACAAAAATGCCTCTTCTTAACGTTTGGGTTGCCGACCTCTGAGCTATGCTAACATGTTTTTTTCACAAGCTTGCTTTCTCCCAGAGGGCTTTCTCCTGGTCAGCTGTCGTAGCAGACCAGCAGTCTCTTGCAGAACACGTTTGCTCATACAATCATACAATATGATGTAAAAGTGTTCATTATATGTAAAAAGTTATTTATTTGGGCAGAAGGTGTTTACTTGTGAGAAAATTAGAATGAATATGAATACTGTGAACATAATGTGCTCAAATTAATGTCTTTGAGAAGCCCTATCATAAACCACATAAGCAAGTCTATTTGAGATTACTTGACAAAGGTTTGAGGTGGGTGTGTGATGATTTACACATGCACTTTAAATCTTAATGGTATTTAGTGGGTTGTAAGCTTTGATTACATGTTAGCGACATTAGCCTCGTAGCTCTGGCACAAAACTAAAAAAGCAAGTCGTTCACCAAGTTTTGACTTGGTACTCTTTGAATACTCTTTCAATGTGCTCACAATCGCTACGTTCATCCGCTCAGGGAAGTGGTCTGAAGCACAATTGACGTAGCAAAATGCAATTTCACAGTTCCACCAGCAAAGACTCAAACTGCAGCTTTGATGATGAAAAAACACTACAGCTACTTCATCTTATCCACAGTCTCTCCTTTCTGGAAACAAAAAAAAATAATCACACTAGCTCTCTTCATTCACGACAATGCTACATCACAGGTGTTAACTGATCAGACGTGACCTTCAGTGCAGATGCTAATTGATGGATGAGGGATGTAATTTCAGCCAGGTGAAGGTCACTGTACTCACACTTGATAGCCACTGGAAGTTCCCGCCTGCTTTTCCTCTAATCTACACCTCTCATCAGTCATGCCTCCACACGTAGCCCTACAAGTGTGAAAGCACTACCACCCACGGAGCTCAAGAACCTTTCTGGAATCTTCCACCCCAGCCTGCCTCCCCCTCAACCTCTGTGCTCTGCTTACTGGTCTCAGGGAAAGGTGCTGAAGCACTTCAATTAATCTCTGCTACTGAGAAACACCCGAACTCCACTCCATCTGCCGCACAGAGCAGCCAAACACAACACTGCACTGCATCTCGCATACAGAAATGCAGTGCGGTAATCAAAATCATAATGATCGCATTACATTTAGGAAACGATCAGATGCACCAAGAAATGTCCAATTTCACCAAAATCTGATGACTTTGGTAAAATTCTGTTATTTTTAAAAACTCACTCAAGTTATATCATATGCAAAAAAAAATATTAGTCGGACACATCATTTTTAGTGATGCATGATGATACAGGAATCATATCAGTATCGGCAGATATTTGCTTAAAAAAATACTGGACAGAATTGAATTGGACAGATGTTTAGATTTGATACATATTTCAAACTAATATTTGATGATGTATTTTTTCTGCTTTGGAAGAGCAGAAGGTTTAAGGCCACAGGGAGGTACTGGAAGACCAAAACAATATCAGATAAAATTGCTTGTTTGCTGGCCAGAAAGGCAAAGCAAAACCCCCATATGACACCAAAGGACCTGCAGGAAGGTTTAGCTGACGCAGGAGTCTACTGTGCAGTTCTGCTGTGCAGCATTGCCTGCTCAAACATGGAAAAGAAACCTTACCTGCAACCTCATCACAAAAGTCAACATTTGAAGTACACAGCACAACTTTTCGATAAGCCAGACACATTTTAGAAACAAACACTGTGAACTGATGAAGTAAAGATAAACCTCTTCAGCCATAATCACCAAATGTATGCTTGAAGAAAAAGAGGACCTTGACAATTGTTAAGCACTGGGGTGGGTCTATTCCGCTTTGTGGTTGTGTGGCAGCTAGTGGCAGAGGAAACATTGCATGGGTAGATGGAAAAAAGAATTCCACTAAATATCAGGAAATACTGGAATCAAATTTGGCACAGAAACCAAAGCTGAATACAAAGCATGAACTACGTCAAGAAACACAAACTGAAGCTTTAAGAATGGCCCTCACAATCTCGACTTAAATATTATTGAAAATCTGGGGGGCAGATCTTAAACGTGCTGTGCATGCAAGATGGCCCAAGAATATTGCAGAACTAGACGTTCTCCAAGAAGAGTGGGTGAAAATTCCTAAAACAGGAATAGAAAGACTGTGAGCTGACTACAAACAGCAAGCTGTGATATCTGCCAAAGATGGAGTGTACCCAAACTTTTGCCCATGTGACAATTAAAATTTTATTTTTTTAAAATTGATAATTTTAATCGAATATAATGTAACTGTGTACTAACATTTGCAGATTTTTTAAAATAGTTTGCCGCAGAGATTGTGTTTACTTCTCTTCACTTAAAAATAATAATCAAAATATGTAATTTAGCCAACTGTATATATTCTGGCCAAATAGAGTGTATTCTTTATTGAATTTTGCTATATATTTAACATTTATAACCAATTCTAACCCTACAAAATCAATGCACTTGAATAGCCAGCTTCAGACTGATGCATCACAATGCGCAGATAGGCATTTTAACACCCCTTTATGACCATCTTGGCCTGCAGGCATGTGTCTGACAAGGCCTGGGCCGGGGATCAACTCTCCACTCTGATATGACCATCCATCATAACACGAGCACATCTCCGCTTGTCAGGATGCCCTGGCTGGCTCGGTTTTTCGGCTCGTATGTCGGAGTGTATCTCGGCAGGATCTGGTTGCTGGCTCATTAAGCATGCGCTATCATGACCTCCGTGGGCTGAGTGAGAGTGTGAATGCTTCAATTCACCCGGCCGCATCAGCCAAAACGGGCCAGCTCATTATATCCTTAATTAAAAAGCCGCTGTATCTGTGGTCCTTTCCGAGGCTCTTTGTACATCTGAATTGGCTGGAGTGAGGGTTTAAAAAAGGAGTAGGCAAATAAATAAAAAAATAAATAAATAAATAAACAAAAAAGGCTTTTACCTGCCTGGTCCTCTCCCGCAGCGCTTGATCCTCATAGTGGGGGTGGTTAGTCAGAACCCGTCCTGTGCACAACTTTATCCCCGCCAGCAGCTGCATGCTTCCTGCAAACACCGCACGCTTGGGGGTCTTGGAGCTGAACGAAAGAAAAAAAAGGGGGCGCTCAGCTTTATACACTTTTCATGTTTCATTAACGTTTAAGAGTGTGTTTGTGTGTTAAATGTGTGTGTATATGTGTTAGGAGAGTGCAGGCGCACTGGCGCCGCCATGAAAGCTGCAGCGAGCTGCTGACATTAATTTCTAACAGAGGGAAGAATGTTAACTGGCTCGGCAGGAGCGCACGCAGCCATGTGTACACTTCCATTACTCAAGTGCAAAATGCTCGAATGGGAGACATTTGGGATGTGATCATCACTTTTAGGGCTCATTCTGCTTTAGAGAGTTACAGCATCATTATGATAAGTGCCATCTGAGTGCTGCACACAGAATTAAAAAAAAAGTCATTTTTTAACATGGGGACAAAAAAGACTAACTTCACATTTAAGCACTGATCTGAAATGTAATTCTTGATACATCCGATTAGCTGGTAATTGGACAGTAGGGCTGCTCCGATAGATCGGCTGACAATTTTGTAAGGATTTTCCAAAAATCAGCTGACCTTTCTTTAAAAAGGACTTAATGGGCAGCCTCTAAATCTCAAAAATCGATACTGTATGACAAAAAGTATTTCCGACAATAACACCCTCACCAGCATGCCAGTTTTATCACACTATAAATGTTGAACATTTAACTGTTTGCAAAAGAACTAACATGGGGTCATTACAGGGTAGGGTAGACACTACCAATTACCCAGTGCCCCTGACCACAACATTTCACCACTGAGATCAGTTTTAACTGTACATTTTCTGCAGTTTTAATCTATGTGGTTGTATTACTAAAGTATTGCTGCTGTGGAACAACTGCTGGTCTATTTCCTCTATTGTCCTGTGTTTAAATGGTTGTATAGTTGTATAATTATTGTATATTGTTCAAAAGAATTTACTGTATAGTGTTTGATTTATTTTGCACTATTTATACCCACAGACCTTAATCTGTATGTGCCTTATGTCACTTTAGTGTTAATTTCAGGACCTTCTATGTTTATATATTTTTTATTATTCTATTTTTCTACAATTAGTGTCTATTTTTACGCTCAGTGTTTAGTGTTTCTTTTATTTTAATGTCTATTTAAATTCACACTTTTCCTGTTTACTTTCTATTTAATGTTATTGCTACACCATGGGGTCTGAGAATAACGCAATTTATACTCTGTATGTCCTGTACATATTGTAGTATTGACAATAAAGCTGACTAGACTTGACTTGATTAGCTTGTCTGTATTTATTGCATTTATTGTCTGTCTGCATTGCTGCTGTGCTATGCTAAATGTAGCACCATGTCCTGCAGAAACTACCTTTCATTCCTCTCTCAGCACATCTGTGATGACAATAAATGGCGATAAAGCTTACTTTGACTCTGATAGCTAATATGACGGTGGTGACCATAGTAAACCCCTTGTTAAGCTGGACTGTGAAGGCATCACAAATTCTGTTCCACTGGCTGAATTGTGCAAATGCCACTCTATGAAATATGATCTTGAATAAAATAAGGTGTTAACACTGAGAGGCTATCACTGCAGTAGTGATACAACTTTTTTTTTAAGTTTTAATAAATATTTTTTGAAAAAGTTTTCAATGCAGTACTTGGCTGTTTTTTGATCCTGAATCACACATGTTAATTGTAAATACAATGTATAAACAATAAACATGCTTCTATTATTGTGGCCACAAGATTCACTGGCTTAGAGGCTCAAGTGGTCAGCACACATTTTTATATCTGTCTGGTCCTGAGTACCCAAAATGTCCGACACTGCACACTTTATGCGACCAGAACGTAGAGATGGCAGTGCTGTAGGTAATGTTTTTGAGCAGGTAACACTGGTTCTAGAAAAGATGCAAGAACTGTAGCACAAATAGACATTTTGTAGCACAAAGATTAATCTTATTCATCTCAATACAGCATGTGAAAGCGGTGAATTTGTAAGTCGTATTTTCAAATTGTTTGTAAGTTTGTAAGTTTGTAAGAATTTTGTTACTGCTAAATGCTGTAAATGTAAATGTAAATGGATAGTAATGTTAATTTTGTGAAATGTACAGAAAATTAATTTACTCCACAACAACTAAGATTCCTGACAGGGTACTTTTAGCACTCAAGTAGTGTTTTTGTGCATCACTGATGTACGTATGGTTGCAGTCACAAATTTCAATAAGTGAAACAGTTTTTTACCTGAAAAAGAATATACAGTAAAGATTGCAAAGATAGTAAGCATAGCAAGGTGTCTCAGCTTCTAAATCCAGAGACTTCTTTGGGACAACTTCTATTTTTCAGCAAGCAAATAGTAAAATCTCAAATCATCACTAGCTTTACATATGAAATTATATCCCAAAGCTAAACAACGTTTGGACATTTTGTGCTTTGCAAGAACTTTTCTTTACAAACATCTGGATTTATTCTACAATGTTATAATTAGATATTCACACAGGACTCATTTCTCCTTGCATGGCCCATACACACTGATCAGGCATAACATTATGACCACCTCCTATTTCTCTGCTCATTGTCCATTTTTTTTAGCTCCACTTACTATATAGGTTCACTTTGTAGTTCTACAATTACAGACTGTAGTCCATCTGTTTCTCTGCATACTTTGTTAGCTGCCTTTTACCCCGTTCTTCAGTGGTCAGGACCCCCACGGACCACCACAGAGCAGGTACTATTTGGGTGGTGGATCATTCTCAGCACTGCAGTAACACTGACGTGATGGTGGTGTGTTAGTGTGTGTGTTGTGCTGGTACGAGTGGATCAGACACAGCAGTGCTGCTGGAGTTTTTAAACACCTCTGTGTCACTGCTGGACTGAGAATAGTCCATTAACCAAAAATATCCAGTTAACAGCGTCATGTGGGCAGCGTCCTGTGACCACTGGTGAAGGACTAGAGATGATTAGCTCATACTGTACAGCAAGAGATGAGCTATCGTTTATGGCTTTACATCTACAGGGTGGATCAACAACGCAGGTGCGTCTAATAGAGTGGACAGTGAGCAGACACAGTGTTTAAAAACTCCAGCAGCACTGCTGTGTCTGATCCACTCGTACCAGCACTTCTTATCCCAAGGATATCCTAAACTACTCAATCACACATTGCTTTATTGACCTGGTTCGTGGCTGTGGCATATCAACCACTATGTCTGTGACCAAGCAACTGATTATATGCACACAGCTGAAACATAAACACATAATCAAAATAACATTAAAATGTAAGTTAGTTAGCTAGACAGCTGCAAATCTGAAGTGTGATAAACTGGAAGTTTAGAATACTGTGACAGCACCCCGTCTACTGTTGATAGAGTGTCGCTATTCCACAGTTTCAGTGTCCATTTACCAAAGCTTTAGCCACCTAAACAAAGAAGAGATCTCAGTTATGATGTTTCTGTAATACGGTCCCTGGTTGCTATCACCACCACTGTGAACAATTCTCACTCAGTGCGTTTCTCTAGAACAGAGCATTTCACATCAAACCACTCAATGTTTACACACAAATGATTGAATTATGCATTTTTTTTTAAAGTGGTGGAATTCCACTTTAAGCAGTAGCATAGAAAAGGAAGCTCAATGGACCCCATTCACAAACGTTTCACCAATGTTTTCTTATTTGGGACTTGTTCTTAGGTAAGAACAGAATCTACACAAACTCAAGACACAAAAGTGTGAACAATTCTGTGGTTAAGGAACATGTCACGAATCTGACCTTGACAATTTCTTAGAACCTTCCTCAAGAACAAATGTAAGAAAAAACATAGGATGATATTGATGAATGAGGCCCAATGTTCTGTAGCAAATCTAAACCCCGACCTAAATTCTTTCAGTTGAATGGAACTTTTGCCAGCATTATATAAAAGAATGCATTTGTGGACAGAGTACGGATCATACAGACTTCTGAAACCATGTCATCATTCTGTAGTTGCTGTCATGCCAATATTAGAAACAGCAGGTCTAAGCAGATTTCTCTATAAGAAAAATGCTTGGTGTTTTCGAAAAATCACTGCTGTCACGTTTTGCCATATAGACAGTGACATTTTCCCTGAATTTTCACTGTAGTCTCTGAATTATGAGGTAAAGGAGTCAAAATACAAATGTTGCTACACTGCTCCGCACACAACTGACATCATAAGACTGGCAACCTCATTAAAACATCTTAACTGGTCAAATTAGTTATTTCTGAGAGATTAGATGTAAGGCAATCCACCTGTATAAGAAAGGGGGAAGTCCCAGGAAACATCTAATAAGTTCCTAATAAGGGCATCTCACCATCTACAGAAATACTTAAGAGGTGATCAGTAGACTTCTATTGGTGATCAGTATTGGTCCTTTTAAACCAGACCAAAGCATCCCTGTTGGACAGTATTTCTTAAAACCACATTTATCATGTGAAACAAACACAATTCACAAAATGTGTGAAAATAATGCTAATTGTCATTCTATCAATCTCAGATAAAATATTCTTCCTTGACTACACTCTTAGGCCAACATTACACTGAAGTGACTGTTGGTGTTGTTCTCAGAGGGAAGGTGAAGGAGAACGGTGGATGAAGCAGACTCTGAGAGCAGCAGGACAGTTTCAATATGGCAGAAGTTTGCTGGCAGGAATGTTTCATTACGACTGGCATGTGTTGGGAGGAATGTTACATTAAAGCGGAGGAATATTGCTAACTGAGTGAAATGCCAGAGGATGCCTCAGCCACAGCCACGGACCAGGTCAATAAGCAAGAACCCAAGGATGTCAGGGTTAAATGCATATACTGTAAAAACATACTCCCTTCAATTCTTTCTGATTTCCTCTCTCACTGGACCCTGTATACCTCACTCCTCTCAGACCACCACTACCTAGCACACACACACACACTGGGTAACTACAGAAGCATTCAATTTGAGACTGTCCAACACACTGGCAAAGTTGAACAGGGAGAAAAATGACCACAATTACAGAGGGCTGTCTCTCAGAGCTCAGTCTGCCCTCCACTACCACAGCATCCTCAC